AATATATGACAAAGTGGGAAAGAGAGTAGATAAAATGTTTGCTTTTGCTCAAGCACAACTTTTATATACCACTCCCAGTAAGTCTATATTCTGTTTTGAGAAAGGAATGAGCTATGAAAGTCCTATTAAAGCAGATTTTTCAGAAATAGAGAAATCAGTAATTAGCTCTAAAAGTTTATTGAAAGAAAAAAAGCGCATCTATTTACAATGGCAGATAAAGCACGTCTGCCTTTCCTCTTCACTCCAAAGCCAACAAGCCCTCACATTTTCTTTGCAAACAGATGCCTTTTTTTTAAGAAACAAAATTGTATGGAATTTAAATAATGGAATTAAATCTTGATTTTACAGCCAGATAAGCACTCTTGCAGAAGAAATATCTAAGATTCCAAGAAAACAAACAAAATTTAAGCATCTTTATGTTTGGTGTTGAATAGGAGAGGCAACAGTAATTTTTAAAAATAAAAAACTTTTATTTTGAAATAATTTTAGGTTTACAGAAGAATTGCAAATAGGGTACTGAGTAATTGCTTTTGTAACATCAATTTAAGCTTGCTATGGTCTCCTTGGATTTATTTTATCATTTTAGGCTATTGAAAAATAAGTTCACATAATGAAGAAAATTGTCCTCTTACTGACCTTTTGAAAGAGACTCAATACAGAAAGTTCACTCTGTTATTATTCTTTGATATTGTTTTTATATGAAAGTTTTTGAATATTATCAAGGCCTTAACATTTCTTTATCAAATGAGCAATTGCCTTTTATAACAACCAAGCAACTTTGAGTACAAAGGCATTTAATGCAAAAAGGGTACAGAAATGGGTCTCCATTAAATGAAGGTATATTTTATAGAAACTTTTTCTCTATATATTAATATAAAATAAAAATAACTTCCTCAAACATTCACAACTAGAAATATAGTATAGTTGAGATTCTGTATAATTTTATTTTAAATCTTGTTACATAGGACTTTCAGAATTTTTTACTACTCTTTTGGGTAAAAATATGAAAGCATAAGCAACAATCTATTAAAACTAGGCATATACACATAGATTTTTATAATCAAAACATCTTTACAATTTATAGTATAAAACAATTTCAAACACATAACAAATAACAAACATTCATGTTCTCAACTACCTAGATTTTTTAAATGTTAATATAATGCCACATTTATACCAGATTTTGGGGGAAGAAATGAAACCTCACAGACCCAGCTTTTGTACCCCTGTCAGTTTGAATTCAGTTACAGAAAACAGAAACAACCCCAGCTATTATAAGTAAAAGGACTTAATAGAGGGAATTGGGTGCTTACACTGTTGTTGGAAGTTGGAGTACTAGGCTGGGCTCCCTGGAATGATCCCAGAGCAACATCACAGAACAGGGGACCCAAGAGGCTGCTTCCTTGGTCAGGGTGAGGGAGGCGGAGGATCAGAAAGCCATGGCAGAACTCGCCAAGCTGGGCCGCGCTGCCCCAGCGCAATCCAGAATCAGGAAGCCGCCACCACCACAACTACTGGATCCATTCTGTGCCTGCTAGACCTGCACTGGCCAGAAATGGATGCCCATGCCCTGCCCTTGACCCTGTGAAGCTGTAATGGGATGCCAGAATGCTTCCTCAGGAACTCAGTACCTTATGACAGCACTTAACCAACAGAACACACAGAAGTGGCAGAAGCATGGCCTCCACTTCCTGCCTCCTCCCAAATCTCACAGGAGGGCATCTGAGGTTCTTCTCAGTAGCCTGTCCATGGAATACTGGTGACCCAAATAATAATGAAAACCCCATACTATAATATGGTAGAAACCTCTTTCAAGGGTCTTCAAAATTAGATTTTCATTCATGTATTAACACCATAAATACTTTTAAAACTACATGGTCTTTTCTATCTTTTGAAACATAATTAAATGTTATTCATCATGAGCTGAAAGTCCTATCATTTTATCTGTATGTCTACACACCAAACCTTATATGTCACCTGTGATATTACTTTGTTTTGTTGGTGATCTTGTCTGCCCTGCCCATGAGACTTCTCTTCCCAATTAGACAGTCCTTAAATAGAGAAATCAAATCCTGCTTGTCTCTTTTGACCCCTAGTACAAACCCTTATAAATAGCAGCCAGCTGAATTGCTTATTAACCAAAACTCTGTAGAAAAACTCTTGTCACACTGGCTTGGAAAGTAATGGAGGCAGAAGAGAAACATAGCTCACTGGTGTCTCCCCGTAGGTATTAAAGGCTTTCTGTCCCCCCAGGTTTGCCTTTGTAGAACATGAAATTGACTGTGACTCTATTCTGTTCCAGAGATCAGCTGTATAACCACCCACCTAATAGAGCTGGTGCTCCTGAGGAATCCACAGAGTGTCCTGCAGAGTTGAGACCACAGGGTCCCCAGGCTCCATCCCCAGTTGCTGTCCCTAGACCCCCTAGTAACCCTCCAGCCAGAGGAACTCTGAAAACAAGTAATTTGCCAGAAGAATTGCGTAAGTTGTTTGCAGCATTGCTTTTTCCTTCTTCTTGTCAGGCCTTATACTTTAAGAGTACTTGATGATTATTCATCCATAATCTTGGATACTTCTCGTATACTACAGAGTGAAATAAAATTTCCTTTTTGGCTTTTTGTCAAAAAAGTAACTAGCATTTTGTCTGAATGTTTGTAGTGATTCTGACCCTACCAGCAATACTCACAAAGTGCTTACCACTAGATTTTCTTCAACATATACTCCAGCAACAAATAACCTCAATGTTTTTTACCTCTTCTAAATGATGCTCTTGAGTGGACTTGTCCCTGGATAAATTGATTGGATGTCCATGTGGTATTGGCCAGGGACTTAGCGTCTCTCCATAAATTAGTAGCAGCCTTCAAGAACGAGGTCATTTCCTGTAGGAATGAGCAATCTTGTTTGGAAAAAGCGGTCTCACATTCTCCGTACTGCTTTACAACCAAATGCAAACTAAGCCTTTTATTTAAAGAAACATTCAACTAAGTGTCAGGTGACGATGCTTTTTCCACATTTTGCAGCCAGAACCAGAAATGTTGAAATATCACCAAAGCATTCTCATATTAAGGTCAGTCAGGACAGTAAGTTCTAGAAATCTTTAGGAAACAGTCACTACTTGTGAAATTATTATATTCTACTGTGCTTGCTAAAATTCTAATAAGCCCTTTCCACATCTAGGCACTGCTTTGAACCAAACTTAAAATTAAGCCCTTTGCATTAGCTAATTCTAGTTAAGGGAATCTATGCTCTTTAGTCATTTAAGAGTCTGAAAGATTTGTATGACAACGATCTTTTGTTGTTTTTCATTAAAAAATTTTTTTTAATTCTTAAAATCTTAGACATTTTTGACACAACATTGTAAAATGACTATAACTCAATAAAAAAAAGTTGAAAAAAAACTATGAGAATCAAAAAAAACTTAGGCATTTTGAGCATTTCTAGAGAACGGACGATGTTAGGAAATAGTCCGGTTGTCAGTCTGTAGGGTCATATTTATCTTACCGTAACCTAGAGAAGGAGTCCTAAAATTCTTACAGAGGAATTGGTTGAATATTAGGTGTTGATAAGAAAATAAATTGAATGCCATTAGTATGCCTGGCTGATTAAATGAGTCAATATGACCATTGTACCTACTTCCATTTGAGAAGTGTGTTTCAAAATACAAGAGGGTAAGAATAGATGAAGGGGTTCTTTCCAGCCCCCCTTTCTTCTCCACCCTCTACCCCAGGGCTTTCTGAGATGTAGCCAGTGGATTCCAGACTAAAAGCCAACACAGAGAGATTATCCATCTACCATGTTAACATACTAGCCACATAATTTACTCAAGACTTTAGCCTGAGAAAACATGGGCTCTTATCTTGACTGGGTTAAGCTTGTGGGCACAATACCATCTGCTGCTCTCAGCTGATTTAGGGAGGAGCAAGGGAATCAGTGATGCTGGGCTGCCCAGAGGCAGGGTCTCTCCTTCAAGCAGCTGAAGTTCTTAGTAACATTTCTGAGCTCCGCTTTAGTCTCCTCCAACTTCCCGGCCTTTCCCCCACCAGTGAGTAGATGAGGGGAAGGAGGGGCGGAAAACCTCTCTCCTCACTTGCTCTTGTCAAGTTCAGGGTAGCAGAGAACATCATGAGATCAAAAGAGGACACCGCTGGGTGGCCCCTTAGCAAAGCTCAACTTCCTGGCCTGCTGTGAGAGCATTCCCTGGGCACAGTGCCAAGTGTCTCTAATATACTGGGGGTGGTCTGATCTCAAGGACCCATAGGTTCTGGGAGATGGATTTTTTGTTAATGCATCATGTGGTTTTTCAGAAGACCTCCTCTGCTTGTCTCAGCCAGCCAGTGTCTCAGCTCTCCCTCCAGCCTCTCCTTTCCATGCACCCTGGGCAGCCTGCACTCCCTTGGACAGACCCCTGGCCCCTTTGGGCCTGAGGACTGCAATCCGCACTGCTGCAGGCATAAGCCCCTTAGACCACCCCCCCACCCCCCCCACCCCCCGTCCTGAGGCTTCCCTTCGTTATTCTAGGACAAAAGATAATGACATACAATTTGCAAGTGTTGGGTAGAAGAGATTCATTTGACTAATTTCTAATAAATGTGAAAAATCTCTCTTAGGAAAGGTCTTTATCACTTATTCTATGGACACAGCCATGGAGGTGGTGAAATTCGTGAACTTTTTATTGGTAAATGGCTTCCAAACTGCAGTAAGTATCTTGAATCCAAAGAGAAGACTGAACAATTAAAGTGAGTACAAGGAAAAGAAAAACAAGAGAAAAAGTAGAAATAGCTGTTGATGTTTTAAACTATATTATTTGATTTATGTGATTATGAACTAATGCTTATGGATTGAGGTAATAATTTTCTAAAGTTTAAACGAGCCAAAGTCTCCAGCATGTTTTTTCCTGCATGCCTTTTGAGTGACCCCAGGTGCCTCCGAACAGCCAGAACGGCCTTAATGCCAACCACGTATGCAGCTGGCGCCTGGCCTGAGGGAAGCGCCAGGCTCTTGCTGCACTTGGCCCCTTTGCCCGCCTTCATCAGTCATGCCTGCTTTGGTTGTGCTTTCTGTGCTGCAGGAGGCTACAGGCTTCACTGGGTCACCTGCTCATTTTACAAGGTCCTCTTGTTCTGCACTGGGTTGTAAGGTTGACGGTGGAAGCCCTGCAGCCTGGGGCCCCATCGTGCACAGCCAACGGTCCACACCGGGATGCAGCCGTGATGCTTCTGGACAGGGAGGACCTGGCCAGGTTCTCGGCTGGTCAAGGCTAGTTCGGGGGAAGTAGATAACCCAACCCTACATGCCTTTCACTGTGATCTTAGCCCAAGAAATCTCAGGAAGCACACATTCCTCAAGTCCCCTGCAGTGCCTTGAAAGAGCACAGCCTAAACCCATGTATGTTTTCTTTAGGATAAATAAAATACCACAGGAGGCTACTCGGAGGACTGGCTTTCCTCAAACACTGAGACTGTGTCTCTTCTTTCCCAGAGGCCTCTTCTGGGTATTTAGTAACTGAATTCTCAAGAGTAGGGGGAAATTAAGGGAAATATCTACAAATAGGAATATTGAAGGATAAAGAGGGAATACATAATAATTAAATATCAATTTTAAAGATTATTTAGCATTTTTAGCAAGAGTTTTATTTGAATTTTTCTTTATTCTAGAATTATTTTTAAATGGAATTATATGAAAGTTTTAAAATGCAAACAATTTATACTCTCCAACTTTATGACTATATAGATATATGACTATATAGAGACCAACATTTCAATTTCTCATTTCTGGAATAAGAAAACACTGTGGCAACCAAGACATAAAATCAAATTACAGGACATAAGATCAACATCTCAGAAAAGATCTTATTTTTGGTCCTTTCTATGTAAGCATACTGATTGCCGCTGGAGAAGAGGGCCAGTTCCTGTGACCTTAATGATCAGAGGCTGCTTAGGCCAAATTTAAAGTTGACCTTGAGCCTGATCCCTATGAAGCCTGTGGTAGAACCACAGAGCCCCATCCTGGACAGCTAAATTATTATATTGATGCATCAACAACCCCTTAGTGGAGAAAAATAAACTTAATGGGTAATTTCATAAAGGGACAATTTTCAAAATTCTAGGTGAGTTTTAGGGCATCCACAGGGAGTAAATAGTGCACTATTCTGGGACCAGCAAAAGCAGGAAGTTCCTACTAACTCGAGGTCTTAAGAGGCAAGAGAGTAGTGACTACCACAACCCAAAAGGGGCACTGTATTGTTTTGCCAGAGCTGCCAAAGAGCACCACACGCTGGGCAGCTTAAACAACAGAAATTTATTTCCTCACAGCTGTGGAGGTTAGAAGTCCAAGATCAAGGAGTCAGCAGGGTTGGTTTCATTCTGAGGTCTCTTCCTTGGCTTGTAGATCTTCTCCCTCTGTCTTCACCTGCATGTGATCGTTCCTCTGCATGTCCTAATCTCCTATTATAAGGACACCAGTCATATTGGGTCAGGGCCCACCCATATGTACCCATTTTACTTTAATCACCTCTTCAAAGGCCCTGTCTCCAAATACAGCCACATTCTGAGGCACTGGAGGTTAAGATCTCAACATAGGAATCTGGAGGGACATAATTCGGCTCTTAACAGTGGCTGGCTGAAAAACTTGGCCTGCCAGGAGCTGTGGATTTCAGTGGAGATTTGGAGAGACAAATGGAAGCTTTCTAAGCACACGGTGCTTCCCAGAGTGTCCACCTCACTAGGAGAGAAGAATTTAGGTGCTAGGATAATAATAATGATGACCGTTTATTGAGAACTTTACTTCATGCCTGGCCCTATGATGTGCCTTTTCCATGTTAACTCATTTTAATCCTCACAACCACCCTAGGAAGTCGGTTTGTTAACCACATATTACAAATGAAAATAGCAAGACTTAGAGAGTTTCAGGAAGTCATGCACGTTTCCAAAGTCATGCAAGTGGGAAGTGCAGGAGCCAAGAGTAGAGCCAAGCTGTTTATCTCTTCTCAGCCCTGACGTCACGTTGCTTCTCTCCTGTAGAACAGAAATGGATGACTGATACAGCCATGGAGAGCTGCAAAATCTCTCTCAAGATTACCTAATATAGTCATTGGCCATTAGACATTTTAAAACAGGAAGCATCCAAACTAAAAGGAAAGCCATTCCATTTTGATGTCCCATCAGTAAAGAAACTTAGTCTGAACTCATATTCTGTTCTGTATATGTCTGAGTTTGGTATACAAAGGCAGGATCTTATTCTATAGGAAGCTTAGAATCAGGTTGAAGAGATAAGGCAGACATCAACGAGATGTTTAGTAAATGAAAGAATGCCATAATAATGTATTTACTGCCCAGTACCACCAGTGGTCACAATGGGATGGAGTTCATTGAGGTGAAGAGGAGGAAGTCAGTGTGTGGGGAGGATTCACAGAGCAGGGGCAGGGCTTGCACTGTGCTTTTAGGGGGACACCAATGTGGGGACATGCAGGGAAAAAAAGAGGTAAGGCTGGATCAGGGATGGCATGGAAATCTTGCTGAATGGCTGGGACTTGACTTGATTGGCCCCAAATGGCAACGTGACATTTAGGACAATTGATCTGTGAGCAGTGTGTCTGAATCAAATATCCCTTCTTCAAGGACACTCTCCCTGCATCACCCATTCCCATATATAATCTCTCTTCCAATCAAGAGCACCTTGTGCACACATACTCTTCTCGCTGCAGGACAAGCCTGAGCTCAAGAAAGGCCTTCTTACTTGATCTTCTGTAAAACAGAAAATAACTGGTTTTTCTCTCCTTCAAAAACTGGTATTTAATACCAGTCTTTTCAAGGCCCAAGAGTTCTACTCCTTGACTTTCATCATAAACCTTTTCCCCACCATCTCAGTAACTGTTTTTGTGATTGTACCTCGGATTTGCTTCAAGTTTCACACAATCCTTTTTAAATATATAGATTGAAACTGGACATATAATACTATCATAATGTCCTGGCTAATACAATAAAGCACCACATTGTATCTCAGTACTTGGCTTACCACACGTCCATTGAAATATTCCAGAATCATGTTTGCCTTTCAGATTACAGGTATGCATATATAGTGCATATGTTTGCCGGTTTACATCCAACCTGGTGGTCTACTATGTCTCTCAGATTTTTTTAAACAGAATTACAAGTATTAAAAACTTAAATGCCTACTAATCTTAAAATGGGAAACATTTAAAGAAAATGTGTCTTGTTTCTTAGACTTACAGACCCCTCCCTGCAAAAAAAAGTTAGTAACTTTTCCAGTCTTAAATGTACATAATCTCTTGTGCTTTCTCTTTGCATCTAGACAAAGCTTCTCAGTAAGAGCCGCTTTCCACATCTTTGTCTTACAGATTGACATATTTGAGGATAGAATCCGAGGCATTGATATCATTAAGTGGATGGAACGCTACCTTAGGGATGTAAGTACGTCCCAAAATTCTGAGCTTGTTTTCTGGTGAGAAAGACAATTAGCTTGTGGAGTTATTTTATGAAAGAAGCACTGGATACCCACCAAGTCCAAAGCTGACAAAGTCCCAACAAAGCTTCCCTTGCTGGCAGCCGAGCAGACTTGGAAAGGAAGGATGGGGTCGCCCTCCTGGACTTGCACAGGCAGGAAATAACTGTCGAACCAGACACAGGTGGTTGATAACAATCAGAGCAAACAATTTTTGACCAGAATAGGAAAGGAGGAAATGAAGGCGGAGAGTGGGGAGGGAGCGGCAGAATTCAATTTAATCTGAGGCCACCCCAAGTGTTTTGTAGGATCAGGCTGAAGAGGTTTTCCGGACAGCCTCGCAGGCCGTGCAGCACATGCTCCCCCCACCCCCGCGCCCCCCAGACGCCCCCTCACAGCCTTGTGATTTGTTTTCCACTGACAGAATCTATACCGACCAGTGGGACACTTTGTGCTTTAACAAGATAGAAATTGATTGCTGCCAGCCTGTCCGTGTCGGCTGCCTCTTTTGGAGGGAGCAGAGCGGTGGGGGACAGAGTCTCAGCAGGCTGGGGTTTTGAGGCTTTTCCTTTTGTCTGCAGTCTGATGTTTGCTTTGTGTTGAAGGGTCTGCTCCTCCCGACTGCGCTTAGCGTCCGCAGCAAGCAGGGCAGTCAAGGGTGCAGTAACTGACAGCTGAGATCCAGCTGCCAGGGGGAGGGCGTTTTCATCCTTGCTGTTGCAGAACCTTTTTGCCACAATGCAGTCACTTGGTGATTCCGGTTTTCATTAGACGTTTATTAGTGATGGTTGTGGAAAACAGTGGGCAGAACCGCATTCATTTAGGAGAGCTTCTCTCAGAGCTGGAGCCATCCCCATGTTTGAAGGGAGTTGGGGAGGAAGACAGAGGGGAGGAGGGAAGACGGGAGGCTGCTGGTGCAGCAGGGAGGGCGTGGAGGTGGGTGGGGGCAGCGGTGCTTTTTGCTTTCCGTGGATGGAGCCCAGTCCTCCATCCTAGAGGATATCAGAGAACAGTCCTTCTGGCCAGTTTCCAGCCTGCCTTCACCAAATGGACCACACTCTACACTTCTATAAACATGCTTTCTCCCTCTCATTAACAGAAGACAGTGATGATAATCGTAGCAATCAGCCCCAAATACAAACAGGATGTGGAAGGCGCTGAGTCGCAGCTGGACGAGGATGAGCACGGCTTACATACTAAGTACATTCATCGAATGGTGAGTGATAAAACCAAGCACCTCGCGGCCCCTCAGAGTCAGGCTCTTTCTTCTGTGAAGCCCTGTTCTTCACTAGAGACCAACTGAAGGCAGCAGGATGATGGGTGAAGAACCCAGGCAAGAGACACGGTGTCAGTTCTGGCTCCACCTACCTTTGGGGTTTTGGGCAAGTCACCGCACCCCCAGGACTCAGTGTTCCTATCAGTAACAGGGGAGAGTAATCTGTGATCTCTAAGTTCCAGGATTCTGGAAAGCAGTGCTCTGCTGGCTTGGTTGTTTACCAGCTGATGGGAAGTCCTGGGGAACGGGAGACAGTGCTGTGAGCAGAGCGGCTTCTGCATTTGTATCCTGTTCTGTCCTGTCTGTTCAGAAGGCAGAACAGCACAGTGAAAAGGACACAGGCTGTTGTATCAGGTAGACTCGGTTCACATTTGGCTTCCTGCTGCTCAGGTTGTGTGACCGCGGGGCCAAGAACTTAAACCTCTTTGTGCCTCCGTGCCCCTATTCAGAAAATGGGCCACTAGCACAGTGTTGTGAAGACCGAATGAAGTAACGTCTGTGGAGCAGGTGGCAGATGCTGGGTGGAGGGAAGGGATTGTTCTAGCTCATGATAGGTGAGCAACACCGGAACTGTGGGGCCTGCTGAAACTAAAACCAGCAGGAGAAATTTATAGGAAGTTAGACTGACTCAGTATCTAATAGAACATTCCAGCTTTGGAACTGACTGTTTTCTGAATGGGCAATCTTCCTGCTTTCCATGATCATACAGAGCCTGTAGAGACAGGGCCTGCTTGGCCAGATGCTGGACTAGACTTGTGGCTTTCAAACTCTCCTGTGGCACCCCTCCAGGTGCCCATATCTGCTGGGGGCTGGGGGTGGCTCTGGGCCTCCCACCCCATCTGACCTAGAGCTGGTCTGCCTCTCTCAGGCTTATTTACCAAGGATTCTGAGACTTAAAAAGGCTTGAAACTCACTGGACTAAGAACATGGACGCTCCATTTCAGCTTGAACATTCCACAAGAGGGGAAGGCACTTGGAACGGGCATAAAGGGTCACTGACTAAGACAAGAAGATGGGGCAGGAAGCAGAAGTGGCCCAGACAGAATAAGTAAGCAGCATAAGACAGGAGGTGGTCAGGCAGTCCAGGGACATGTAGCTTTACCTCAAGGGAAGCAGACTGAAATCCAGGTCTGTGATGTGGGTCAGGAGCATAGGAAAATAGGCAGGGCAGGTGGGTGGATGCTCTCCATCTGGGTCCTCAGGGTCTCTGGTGCCTGTTCTGCCAAGTGCCGACCACGTACTTGAGCTCGGAACCAAGCCAACGTAAAAGCTGGAGCAAGGTGGCAGGGTCGGAGGGTCAGGGCGAGGAGCTGGGAGATCAGTGTCCCTCCTCTTCCATTCTTTCCCAGTCTGACAGCCCCTGGACAGGGCCCAGAAAAGGGCCCAATTCTGCCATAAAAGGTCACGGCTGGCTCCGGGTGCCGCCACACTTTGGCTGTCTGCATGGCCCCAAAGCACTGGATCTCTAGGAAACTGCCAGGCCTGAAGCGGACAGCTTTTGTGCATGAAGGGCTCTGGGTCCCTGCCAGTTCCTGGGGAAACCCGTCACACTCTGCAGGTATGTGGTGGCACAAGGCAGTCATAGGCAGCTCAACCTCAGAGCTCGTCCGATGGTACCCAGCCATGAACCAGATTGTTTCCAAACTCAGCTTCTTGGAACCATGATGTCATGGGCCCTTCCTCATCACTCGAGCAGTTGAAGAGGCCAGATGCAGAAGTGCCTTCCTGCCCACCTGGCTGACTTCCTGGTTCCCTCCAGGGAGCAGAAAACTCCAGGACAGAGGGAGTGAAGAGGTACCCATGAGCAACTGCATCAGAGAGCCAATGACTTCCCAAAGGGCCCATCCCTGGAAATGTGAGAGATATAAAAACGTCCCGCTGCTGGCTGGCCTCTCAACAGACGGGTGACCTCGTGGACAAGCAAAATTGTACAGTATACTGTGTCCTGAAGTCAGAAACCAAATCCAGTTATGCATTTTTCACTCACAAGCCCTATGCCCTTCCCTTCCCGTGTTGGTACTGGTGTAGTTGGGGCTTGTAGTTGTACCGCACTTGGGTCATTTTAAAATATGTTTTTGGTCTTGTCTGCTGCTTTTTAAAGGGAGGTGGTTCTAAGAAAACACCTCATGGAGGATTTGTGTGTGCTGTGATTGTGTGTATGTGTGTGTAAGAGTGTGTTTATAAGGTGATCTGTATGGTGATTTCAGTCATCACCACTGTCACCTTCTTCTCTGTTCTGTTTTTATTCCCAAGACTTCTGAGTTATAAAAATCAATTGGAAGATGAGACAGCTGGGGACACATAATTCCTCATCTCTTTTGTCAGCAGATGACTGAAAGCTTTGTGCTGGTCACAGGATTTGGAAGACTAACTCCCCTCATATTGAAAATGCTGGTTTTGATAGAGTTCTTGGCAGCTGGATCTTTTTGGGCCGCCATAGCATCAGAGCAAGTTGGAAGCAGTGTGGGGAACCTAGAGCTTGGCAGACAGAGCTCTTCTCACTGACCTCGCAGCCTCGTCTTCCTGGCCTTCCCTCCTCATCCAGCCCCACGAACATTCTTTCACACCTGCAGATACTTGATCATCCTCTGCTGAGAATGTCCTTCCCCTCTCCCCCTATTTTCCCTGCCTGACCAAATTCTTCTTTCCTTTTCGTATCCAAATGACACCTCCCTTGTAACTCCTTCAAGCCACTGATGTAGAAAAGGATGGCTCCCATTGGGCTCCCATAGCAATTTGTTCATCCTCTTCGCACTGCACTGTGGTGGGGAGTTTTCCTTTCTGCCTGCTCGTTAAACTGCCGGCTTTGTGAGGAGAGAAACTCTATCCGTGGTACATAGTAAACTGGTTCTGAAAAAAAAAAAGATTCCCGATTTGTAGCTAACATTTGCCCATTTCTATGGTGTGAATACTCTCCTGTGACCAATCTCAAGCTACCAATGTGAAGTCACTTGACACAGAATTGGGAAGGGATGCCCACAATCGGCTTCTGTGAGCTGATACGGGGCAGCTCAGCACACCCTGGAAAGTATCCTAGTCCTTGAAACCCTAAATCTAGCACAGAGCATGACTTTTAATAGGCCTTCAATAAATGATTGATGAATGAACGAATGGCATAGGTGTGTGATGGAGAGTTTAAAATTATAAATGCATGGCACTGAAGGAAATCAGAATGAAAATACGGCGTGTGGGGGAAGGTAATAGCTCAGTGGTAGAGCACATGCTTAGCATGCACAAAGACCTGGTTTCTATCCCCAATACATACACACACACACACAAAATATTGTGTGGGCTTGCATGATTGTGGGTACCGTTAACTCCTCATCCTCATTCCTGAAATTAAACCTTCAGGTGTGTTCTGTTCCAGATGCAGATTGAGTTCAT